AAATTAGCGGTCATCAGCGGCTTGTGAGCCGCTGATGACAGCTATTAATTTAAAGGGGACAGTCTGCTGAACAGTTCTACTATAAGCTGATGGTCACTAAAGCGACCATCAGCTTATAGTAGAACTGTAAATGCCAGGTCCGTACGACGTACTGAGCTGGCCAGCTGGAAGCACTTTTGTAGCTCCGTACGACGTACGTCCTTGGCAGCGAAAGGGTTAAATCTAGAGTTCAGTCCTCCGACATTCCATGAGACAGACAATCTGTACATCAGCTGCCATCAAAGTGTGGGAAGATCAAGTACCGCTGAGAGTCATGGAGAATGTTGTGCACATTGAAAGCATCCAGGTCCAAGAGGCCTGTCGATCGAGGCCATGGCGTATAACATTTAACTTCCCATTAAACACCCTGCCAGCCCACATAACAACAAACTAGTGGAGCAGCTTGAGATCCCAAAACTTGAAAAACTAGTTAGAGTATCACTCAATACTCAGAGGTAAGGCAGTCTCGAAAAGTGCAAAAAATTATTAACTGAGAATATACAGGAGTACGTACATCCTCGGCCATATGTCCCGGTAGTCCTTGCGGCCGTACAGGTAGTAACAGTAAAGGTAAAGGGTTCCGGAGTAACCGGCGGTGCGTAGGGCCATAACAGAAGATGACAACAGCCCATTATAAAAAAGGATATTCCAGACTCTGGTGTTATGGCACTGGTTCGAGCCAGTCTGCGGCCGCAGCTGGGTCCTCAAAGAATTTAGTTGATCAGGCAAACTGTACTCTCAATCTGCTACAATAGAGCATACCGTATTTCAGACCCTTGTCACGGAGCCGGCGACGGACATCTATGAAGGATCGTCGTTTTCTCTGTAAATCCGGTGAGAAGTCAGGGAACAGCATAATTGTGGCATTCTTAAAGCGGAGTTCCGACTCTCTCTTTCGAGCAGTCGTCAGAATCAGATCTCTATCCCTGAAGTTAAGCAGACAAACCAGGAAGGGTCGGGGATGTGAGCCCGGGGGCCTTTGGCCTAGGGGAACGCGATGTACACGCTCCACCACATGCTCCAGGCCAGAGAGACAGATTGTAAATCCAGGAGCTCCTTGAAAAAGGCCTCCGCAAATGATGTAGGATCCGAGCCTTCAGCCGCCTCAGGAAGGCCCACGACCTTCACGTTATTGCGCCTCAGACGATTTTCCGCATCCTCTGACCTTGCAGTCAGCTGCGTCACCGCATGCTGCAAGCTGCGAATGGTTTGGGAATGTTCTCCCGCAATGTCTTCCAGGGTGCCCATCCGGGTCTCCACTTCCGTCACCCGACCCCGGATTTTAGCCAAATCCTGCCGGATTAGGCCGCACTCAGTAGCCAGAGTGTCCAATTAGGGTGGTCTTACTGGCCTCTATCGCGGCCAGGATGGCACCCGGGGGCTCTGTGCCCTTAGGAGAGGGGCTGCTATGACTTGCCTGTCCCGAGGCCTGCTCCATGTCGTTCCACCCGGCCGTCTGAGTGCTGGCGCTGATGAGGGAGAGAGAGCGTGCAGCCAAGATGGCGCCGGCACGTGTGAGAAGAGGACCCGGAGGCTCACTGCTCACTCTGGACCGCGCCGATCTCCATTTTGTTCGCATGGGGAGGACGTCCACTGTCACCGGAGTCCCTGCCAGGAGAAGGTGAGTACGGAACCACCGATGGCACCGCAGGAGATCAGGATGGCTGAACAGATGAGAGGAGCTGCAGCTAAGCACGTCCATTCAGTCTCAAATCCCGGCCACGCCCCTCCCCATTTTTATAATTTATAGTGACTTAAACCCTCAGATTTTTTACATAAACCAATACTGTAATGTGTGCCTTACTGTAATCCATGGTTGTTTCCCTTCTCTTTGCTGCTCTTCCTTTTAAATCCTCATGTCTTCTCATGCTTGGGGAGAACTTCCCTTTTCAGCTCAGGGCCTCTTCCTGTAGTGCTGGCTCAGTTTACAAGCCCATACAAACGTATACAGACACCGTGTATCCATTCCTGAGACAAGGCAGTCTGCTGCAAAACAGAAGTTCTGCAGAGCATGAGAACAGATACAGATTTAAAAGAGCAGCAAAGAGAAGGGAAACAACCATGGATTACAGTAAGGCACACATTACAGTATTGTTTTATGTTAAAAAATCTGAGGGTTTAATGTCACTTTAATTGACGCAAAAACACGCTTTACAAAAACTACTTCTATGACTAGATGGGAAAAGGAATTTGATTCCTCCTAAACAATGGAGCAATGGAAAATGGATATTAGGTCGATATATGCTGTATCAAAATGTGCAAACCATTAGGAGATCCAACAAAATTTTTTTACACAGATGGTGCCAAACCCCTTACAAACTCTCTAAATATTTTCCAGGGACTTCGCCCCTTTGCTGGCGGAAATGCGGAGAAATCGGTTCCTTGATTCACATAGTTTGGTACTGTACATCGATCTGCTCATATTGGAACCACATTTTTAAACATATCAGATCTAGCACAAAAAGAGATCTGTCCAAATGCAGCGCTCGCGCTACTTCATGTACCTTCCCAACAGTTGCTCCCCACGTCAAAAACGGTTATAATGCACGTTTTGATAGCAGCAAAAGCCCAGATCGCTCAAATGTGGTTGGATTCGGAACCTCTGAGCTACACGGAAGTAGCAGTAGGGTGAATCTTCACTGCTCATACGAACAAATGTTTGCCATAAGAAACAACAGGTATCACAAATTCTGTGCGGCTTGGAAATGTTGGTTGTTGCACCGTCTAAGTAAAATTTGATCATATGGTGGTCCTGATATTGTGGATGGTCTTCTATTCGAAGGTTTCACACCTTTTCTATGTTTTCTTCCTCTATCCAATCTCTGTACCCTTCTTTATTTTCTAAGTAACCTTAAATATTTTTCCCTCTTACGCATTATTCACTTGGTCGTATCCGACTTGCTCAATGTCTTTCGAATCCACAGACTACATTCCTGGACCATAGTTATGTTACCGCATTATCTACTACCCTATTGGGTCTCTGCCCCTTCCCACAGTTTGGACCCCAGGTCTCCACTGCGGGAAAGAGGAGTTTAATTTATATATTATTGTGACTCCAGGATGTGTATGTTCTTATTATATGCCTAATATACGACCAAGTGTTTTTACATTGTAACTTGTATTACTCAATAAAAAACATATTGAAACAGAAAATATGATATTTTACTAAAGTTTTTGCTATGCCATTTTGTTCTTGCGTGCCATTTTGATGATATTGTCAGGCATCGAGAGATCAAGTCACTTAATTTTGGCTATAGTTTCACTTCATATTTTATGTAAATTGTGTGAACAACATCTGTAGAGCAAACAGTCACAAAAAGAAACCAAACAACTGACATCAAGAGAATGAACGTTCAATGAGGTTTCCTGAATACAAAGTGACCATTAGCCGGGTTACACAGCATTTCTATGATCACTTTCTCGCCACAATTTCAAGAAAAGGAAACATTTCTATGTGGAAGTAAAAGTACGATCAATGGAATAGCAGCATGTTAAGTTCTCCACCAATACCTGGGACACAGGAGGCTCATGAAGATCCAGCTGTAGCCTCTGAACAACTTGAGAGAAGTCTTCTGCATGAAAGCAGATCACATCTTTGGTTATACGAGGCTGATCACTCCTGAAAATAAATATAGGGGGGAGTCACCCAGAGTGTTCTGAAAGATTTTTTTTTTTTTTTTAAAGAAGTCCCATTCACGTGAACCTATATACACATTCTGTATTTCATTATGATATCTAGTCCTTACACATTTAAAATAATATATGTTCATGCGATGCTTCACTTTCCTAGATTTTACAACAAGCCAAAGCTTTATTTTTAATCTTATAGCAGCTTATTACTCTCCCATAAAATGATTTACCGAATTTTTTTACAGGGCATTTGAAATATATAAAAGCCAAGATGCAGTGCATCTCTGAATGAACTTACCATTCTCCAAACTGCACGGCCTTCAAGACCCCTACAGCTGCGGTACTTTCCCAGTCAAAACCTTGACCAACGTGATCTGCATGTGCTCTCGTTCTGTCTTCAAAGAGGACCTCTCTAGGTTCACTAGTGCGAGGCAGGTATTGCAAATTCTTTATCTCATTCATAGATCTTCCAAAAAAACAAAACAAAAAACAAGATATATTAGAACGAGGTAAACACAACAGCTTTATTTACCTGCACACTGAAATGAAAAAAAAATAAAATGGTTGCCATGTCCAAAACAGTCAGCTTCCCCTTTTACTCCTCAAAATATATTTTTAGGAAATTAAGATGTGGGGGGTGGAAATATGGAGAATATATATATTGCACACACACTAAAAACCATAAAAAAATCCCCACACACTAATCCCCCCCAAAAAAAGACATAGGGGTACTTTACATTCTCATTCTACAGCCTGGATGTAGGGGGATGGGAAACACTGGAGGTTTCTTTAGTTGGAAACACACATATATTTTTGTTTTCCTTAACAGCCACAAAATAGGGGTTTTATACATTTATTACAGATATTTAAAAAGCATAGTCATTTTACGCAGTGCTTTTCATAGTGTATATTCACATCAGTCCTTGCCCTCAAGGACCTTATAATCTAATGTTCCTAACTCACATACATGCATACGCACTTGGGTCAATTTATACAGAAGCCAATTAACCTAACAGCAGCACTGTGAGAGGAAACCGAAAACACCTGGGAGGAAACCTACACAAAAACACAGGGAGAACATGCAGATAGGGTGCTGGCCAAACTTTGATTCAAATCGGGAACTTCAGTGCTTACCTTCGACGTTTAAATGGGGATTTTGGCATGTCAGCTGTGGGGATCATTTGCTCTCCTGGCCTCACCCACAGAATGGGGCCATCATCACTTTGTGATCTGCACTTAAGCTTAAGTGTAGACATGGTCCCCCACGGCAAAGTCATCTGTAAAACACACAAAGATAAATGTTACAAAATATAGTGAATCACCACAAGCAACTTTTGAATCAACAATGAATCAAGTCACAGTGGTGTCTGTAAATGGGAGATTTTCAAGAAGCCATGTAGTTGTCTACCATGTAATTATTTAATATGCAACAGTGCACGGAGTCAGAATATTGCGTGGGACATCTAAATATTTGCTCCAAGTAAAAATTTTATCCACTGTTACATGTGAAAATTCCAGCTGAGGTCAAATCAGGCACTAAAAAGTACATCATCCAGTTTCCATTATTGCAATTGCCAACAATACACGTTTCCTAATTTGATGCTTTATAAAGAGGCTCCCATGACAAAGCCAAAATATTATAATCTTGAATATGCAAACTGAAATTCTACTGGAAACATCTCTAATATGGCTGCCCCTGAGGTTTACAAACAGCAACAACTGTGTTATTAGGTTTACCCTTTTATTGAAAATTCTCTTAGGCCCCTTTTACACGGCCGGTCTGATCGGATGCCCAATGCAAGTCTATGAGCAGCCATGTGTAAATGGACGACCGTCCGTTTACAGCCAGTTACTTCCGCCTCCACCCAGGTCCAGAAAGAGAAAAGAAAAAAAACAAAAAAACACACGACACGTTTCACGCGGATCGGGGGTAATCTCATGTAAAATGGACACTTGTCCATTTACATCAGATTATCCATAGACCGTCAGTTTCCGTTTTTTAAACTGTACGGACACTGATGTCAAAGCGGTGACATCCGCTCCATACTGCTGGGATCAGCCCATGTGAAATCCTCAGGCTGTGAAATGCAAAATACCTGGGCATGTCACAATTTGATTTTCTTCTACTACACAGGCAGAGATTTCTGTAGAGCATAAAGACAGTAAAGAAAACAAAGTCCACCGCACACTGTGGTCCAATAGCATGAGTAGTGTATTTAAAAAAAACATATCAACCAGGGATGCACCGATACTAGTATCGAGATCGGTGCCGATTCCGAGTATTTGGGCAAGTACTCGTACTCGCCCAAATGCTCCGATGCCTAGCGCGAGTACTTCCAGTATCAGGAAGCCGGGCAGCGAGTCATTACACGCTGCCCGGTTTCGCGATTGACCGGGAAGCGGCTCCAGGCTCTCTCGTCACTTGTTATGAGAGAGCATGGAGCCGACTTCCCGGCCAATCAGGAAGCCGGGCAGCGTGTAATGACGCGCTGCCTGGCTTCCTGATTGGTCGGGAAGCTGGCCAATCAGGAAGCTGGCCTCGTATGTGCAGCCTGTCACCACTGGGGCCTCTCCAGCGAGAATGCGCCCTTCGTCCGGTACCCAGCCGAAGCCGTCCAATCAGGAAGCTGGCTTCATGCTCCCTCGTCATCTCATGACGAGAGCATGGAGCTGGCCTCCCGGCCAATCAGGAAGCAGGGCGTCGCGTCATTACACGGCGCCCGGCTTCCTGATTGGCCGGCCAGACGGCTCCGGCTGGGAACCGGACGTAGGCTGTGTTCTCGCTGGAGAGGCCCCGGGGGTGACAGGCTGCACATACTAAGGTAAGAGGGAAGCCGGGTGGCGAGTCATTACACGCCACCTGGCTTCCTGAATGGGACTTCCGTTACTCGGTAATTGGTATCGGCGAGTACCGGAAAAAATTATCCGTACTCGTACTCTGTACCAAAATACCGGTATCGGTACATCCCTACTATCAACCTACATAAGCTAGCCATACACCGATTTTTTGGAATGAAAAGCTACTGTTGTATGGCCAGCTATATTCAAAGAGCAGATGGGGAAAGTCATAAAAAGGAGAGATTTCGGCAAGAGAAGTGTCCAGCAACTGTTCAACATCACCAATGGGTCAGAGGGTAAGACTATGGATCAGCACTGGTTTTTTGTGGTCACTAGAAACCTATTTGCCTCTTAAGACTATTTACAAAAAACGGTAAAGCAGTGCATCATATAACTTGATAGCAGAACAGTGGGAGGAAGACAAAAAACTTTACTTTGGTCATTGCTACCTTGCATGTGGCCTGTCTAAATAAACTTTCAGACATAATGCAATCTGTTTAATCTAATATAAAGGTTTATGACAATCTAACCTTTAAAAATGGAGACTCTTCCAACATGTCTAGAAACTCTGGGAAAAAGTCTCCAACTTCTTCATCAACTGCTCCAACCAGGCTGATTTGTCTCATTGGACCAGCTCTGTATGTGCCACAGCAGTAGGTTCTGCTGACCTAGGGAGAAAAAAAAAATGGATAACCAAATCAATGATAAAGTTATCACAGTAATAAGCAAAAGTTTTAATACAAACTGTCAAGTAAAGAGAAACTAAACCCCCAAAAAATAAAATAAAAAGTCACCAATATTGCCTGCAGACTCCCTGCAACTTGCCTCGTTCTGCTGTGTGTGTCTGTTTGGTGGTGGCCATCTTGAGACTAAAAAAAACACTTTTTTCCCAGTTTTGATTTGTAGTATTTTTTTAACAAAACCAGCACAGCTAAAAAAAAAAAAAATGCAATACATACATTCATTTGTCCCTTATTTTTATTTTTTTTACACTTTTCACTTTTTTTTAAACTTATCTCTCTCGATCTATACGAGCTGTCAGAATGCCGGCATGTGTGTCCACTCTGCTGTGACTCTCAGACACCCGACATTAAGGTATCGGGTGTCTGAAAAAGGTTAACCCTTTCATTAATGGATGCCTAGATAGTTAGACATCCATTACTGAATGGTAACCGCTGATTCTCAGCGGTTACCAGCCTTCTAGTGCAAATAACTCGTGACGTACATTGTACGTGACAAGTCATTTGGTCCCTTTGTGGCAGGACGTACAGTGTACGTCTCCCGTCACGAAGGGGTTTAGGGAAAACAAAATCCAACCCCACATGGCCCTGTGTGAAAAGGTGTTTGCCCCCCCCCCCGTTAAAACATAACCTAACTCTGGTTTATCACACCTGAGTTCAATTTCTTCTCTAGCCACACCCACGCCTGATTACTGCCACACCTGTTTGTCAGTCAAGTCTTATTTAAGTGATTTCTTGATTGCGAAGTGAAGTAGACCAAAAGATCCTCAAAAGCTACACATCATGCCGAGATCCAAAGAAATCCAGGAACAAATGAGAAAGAAAGTAATTGAGATCTATCAGTCTGGAAAAGGTTATAAAGCCATTTCTAAAGCTTTGGGACTCCAGCAAACCACAGTGAGAGCCATTATCCACAAATGGCGAAAACATGGAACAGTGGTGAACCTTCCCAGGAGTGGGCGGCCAACCAAAATTACCCCAAGAGCGCAGCGACGACTCATTCAAGAGGTCACAAAAGACCCCACAACAACATCCAAAGAACTGCAGGCCTCACTTGCCTCAGTTCAGGTCAGTGTTCATGACTACACCATAAGAAAGAGACTGGGCAAAAATGGCCTGCATGGCAGAGTTCCAAGACTAAAACCGCTGCTGAGCAAAAAGAACATAAAAGCTTGTGTCCGTTATGCCAGAAAACATCTTGATGAGCCCCAACTTTTGGGAAAATGCTCTGTGGACTGACGAGACAAAAGTTGAACTTTTTGGAAGGTGTGTGTCCCATTACATCTGGCGTAAGAGTAACACCGCATTTCAGAAAAAGAACATCATACCAACAGTAAAATATGGTGGTGGTAGTGTGATGGTCTGGGGCTGTTTTGCTGCTTCAGGACCTGGAAGACTTGCAGTGATAGATGGAGCCATGAATTCTGCTGTCTATCAAAAAATCCTGAAAGGATAATGTGCGGCCATATGTACGTGACCTCAAGCTGAAGCGAACTTGGGTTCTGCAGCAGGACAATGATCCATAACACACTAGCAAGTCCACCTCTAAATGGCTGAAGAAAAACAAAAAAATATCAAGACTTTGGAGTGGCCTAGTCAAAGTCCTGACCTGAATCTTATTGAGATGCTGTGGCATGACCTTAAAAAAGGCGGTTCATGCTCGAAAACCTTCCAATGTGGCTGAATTACAACAATTCTGCAAAGATGAGTGGACCAAAATTCCTGCACAGCGCTGTAACAGACTCATTGCAAGTTATCGCAAACGCTTGATTGCAGTTCTTGCTGCTAAGGGTGGCCCAACCAGTTACTAGGTTTAGGGGGCAAACACTTTTTCACACAGGGCCATGTGGGTTTGGATTTTGTTTTCCCTTAATAAAAACCTTCCTTTAAAAACTGCATGTTGTGTTTGTGTTATATTTGACTAATATTTACATTTGTTTGATGATCTGAAACATTAAAGTGTGACAAACGTGCAAAACAATGAAAAATCAGGAAGGGGGCCAACACTTTTTCACACAACTGTATGTACCATTTTTAAAGAATGAAGAATGAAAAAAGAATGGCACAATCATAAAACAAAACATGGCAACAAATAAAAAAATTAAATGACCCCTGTTCGAATGTCTGCATACCCTTGTTAATACTGTGTATTGCCCCCTTTAGCATCAATGACAGTGTGCAGTCTTTTGTAATAGTGGTCTATGAGGCCCAGAATTCTTACAGGCGGTATAGCTGCCCATTCGTCTTGGCAAAATGCCTCTAGGTCATGCAAAGTCTTTGGTCGTCTAGCATGAACCGCACTTTTGAGATCTCCCCAGAGTGGCTTGATGATGTTAAAGGTCAGGAGACTGTGATGGCCACTCCAGAACTTCACCTTTTTCTGCTGTAACCCCTGGAGGGTCAACTTGGCCTTGTGCGGAGGATCATTGTCGTGCTGGAAAATCCAAGAGCGTTCCATGTGCGGCTTTCGTGCAGAAGAATGCAAATTGTCTGCCAGTAATTTCTGGTAACAGGCTGCATTCATCTTGCCATCAATTTTCAGATTTCAAGATTCCCTATGCCTTTAGAGCTTACACCCCCCCCCCCCAAAAAAAAAACATCAGTGAACCACCACCATGCTTCACAGGGAGGATGGTATTGCTATAGGCCTCGTTAACCCCTCTCCGAACATGGCGCTTATGGTTGAGACTATAAAGCTCTTTTTTGGTCTCGTCACTCGAAATTACAGTGTGTCAGAATTTGTGAGGTGTGTGAAGGTGTTGTCGGGCATATTGTAACGTGGGCATTTTTTGTGGCCTTGGCCCAGTAAAAGCTTCTTTCTGGCAACTCAACCATGCAGATCATATTCGGTGAAGTACTGTATTGAAACAACCACACCGTATTTTTCCAGAGCAGCCTGTATTTCTCCTGAGGTTACCTGTGGGTTTTTGTTTGTATCCACAACAATTCTTCTGGCAGTTGTGGCTGCAATCATTCTTGGTCTACCTGACCTTGGCTTACTATCAAGAGATCCCAGAAATTCCCACTTTTTAACAAGTGATTGAACAGTATTGACTGGCATTTTCAAGGCTTTGGATATCTTTTTTATAACATTTTTCACCTTTATAAAAGTTCCATTACCTTGTTATGCAGGTCTTTTGACAGTTTTCCGCTTCCCATGGCTCAGCATCTAGCTGAGCTACATGAGAGCTAACAAACTCATTGACTATTTATACACGGACACTAATTGTAATTTAAAAAGCCACTTGTGTGAAATTATCCTTTAATTGCCATTTTAACCTGTGTGTCACCCTGTGTGTCTGTAACAAGGCCAAACATTGTGAGTATGTAAACTTCCGATCGGGGCCATTTGGCCGATATCCGTTATGATTTAAAAAAGGAGCCCAAAACAACTATGTGATAATAAATGGCTTCATATGATCACCATTGAAAACAAACTTAGATTCAATACAATTTGGCTTAAGAGGAATAAAAGAATGGGTCCATGATTTAACATATATTACCTCGTGCTTGAATGAATGGGACTTTAGAATAGACAGACGTCTATATTGTCTTTGTCCTTGAAGATGTGAGAGCAATGTCAGAACACAAGTGTAAATTATGAGCCATTTTTTAAAATGTATTTTATTGTTTATCCGATTAATCGAACTTAATAATCGGCTAACTAATCGATTTGGAAAATAATCGTTAGCTGCAGCTCTAGTGTGAACAGCTGTAAGGAATGTCCAAAGAGTAGACGTGTGCCCTTTATAATGGGATTGAAGGATGTAAAGTGTATCTGTAGGAATATACATGACTCAGGACTATTGTAAAGCCCATATTGAGAGTACAGAACCTCGTTACGTCAATGTGTAGTGAGAATAGAACATCCATGTATATGCCTTTTATAAGGTTAGCTTATAGTTATTGTAAAGTCAGAATATGGATATAAGGACAGGGACCTTTAAATAACTGCCATTACAGGGTTGCACTATATACGACATTCACGTCACAAAAAGATTTTGCCATAACAGCCGTTTAAGACTATTTTGGTCTTGAGTCCTCACAAGCCAGAAAAACTTCAGACGTGGAAAAGACTTCAGAGATCACTAACTTTGAATTATTTTTGAACTATATTTTAAAATTATCTATTTGTTTTATTCATTTTTGTAACATCATTGAATGCTATTGGACTTTATGCCAGGGGTGCCCATTAGCAGCTTCCCATGCCAGGGGTGCCCATTAGCAGCTTCCCATGCCATCAGGAGAGCAACTATTGACCCACCTTCTGGTTTCCTGATTGGCCGGGAAGCCAGCTCCTTGCTGAGCCGACTTCCCAGCCAATTAGGAAACTGTGAGGCAGGTCATTAGTCACTGCCCTGCTTCCTGAACATCGAGCCGGCTTCCCGGCCAATCAGGTCATTACCCGCCGCCTGGTTTCCTGATTGGCTGGGAAGCAGTTTTCCCGGCCAATCACAATCAAGCCGGCCAAACAACATGGAGTCGGCTTCCCTGGCACTCAGGAAGCTGAGTAGCATATAATTACCCGCTGCCCAGCTTCCTGATTGCCCAGGAAGCCTGCTCCATGCCAAAGCAAGCACCAATACTCGGTATCGGCGAGTACCAAAAGCAAAATATCGGTACTCGTACTCAAAAACCTATATCGGTGCATCCCTAGTTTTGATTAAAACAATTTTTTTGTATTGGGACAAGTAGATTGCCATGAGGGACAAGTAGATTCAGCCCCAGCTTTAGCCTTTGGACAAGTAGTTTTTTTTTTTTAAATTTCCACACCCCTGGTATATGGTTTTTTTTCCCCCCTATGTTTATTATGGTTTATAATGTATAGACCATTAGGCCAAGAGATTTTTCTGAACTATTATTAGCACAGGCATTGTGCAACACAGGTGTTGTATATAAACACAAAATTGTTATCACTATGTGACAAT